TTGTCAGAGGAGAAACAGGCAGCAGCCCCACCTTCCTGGGTCAGAGGAAGGCACTGCTGCTCCCAAGCAGGCACCCTTCCTGCCCGAGCTCTGGAGACACCTTGAAGGATTATTTCAAAACACCAAAGTAAAGAATTTTGGTAGTCATCTCCCTGCGGCTATCACTTCACAGGATGCAGAACACGTAACCAAAATACAGCTCAATGTTGTAAAACACCGATGAAGAAAGACACCGGCTTCTTCATTAAGTTAATGCACAGTACACGGTTCACAAACTTCTATAAATGCAGCAGGGTCATGACACTCCTGCAGCAAACACAAGTGAATAAACAGACAGCCATCCCAGAGACATGGAGGAAAGCGTGACTCACTGGGCCACCAAGTCCCAGCCTCTTTCCTAGAGCAGCATTTCAAGTCCTGCGCTGTGAGAGGAGATGGGATTTTAAGCGAGCTGGGGCAGAGGCATCGGAGGGCTCTGCACGGCCAGTTTGAAGCAGGAGAAGCTCTGCAACCACCACAGCTCTCCCAGCGAGCGCCGCGGGCGCCTCCTGAGCCCCCGGAGCCAGCGCGGAGCCCCCCACGTTACCGCCCCGCGGCGCCGTCCACAGCTTCGGTGACAGCCCCACACCGAGTCACCCTCGCTACAGGAAGCTGGGCGAGACGCAGCGCCACAGCGAGGGACGTCGCTTGCTCCGAACCAGAAACATTTACAACTATTTGGGTGTCATGGAAAGTTATGGGAGGCAGAAATACAAAGAACGGGATAAAAATAGTTTATGTGGCTCCAAGTGGCTTCTTGCCTACAGACCCTTCCAGCACATTCCCCTCCCTCATTTTTTTTTTCCCCCTAATCCCAAAGACCTCTAAATTAACCACATTAATTAAACAAGGTTCTCACCAGTTTGCCTCTACTGCTGCACACTGGACTGCTTTTTTTGGGGGAAAAAGAAAAGTTTAAACCTAAACTAAGATAAAGCAGGATTTATTTCTAAACATTTGTTTTAGTCCTGTCTATGTACGCAGATCTCTGAGGACCTCCTGAAATTGTCTTTCACAACGTGGCTCACGGCATCCAACCAAACCCACCGTGACTCTGCAGCTCTGTCCTGCCTCCAGAACACAGTTAGGAAGACCTGGGCCACTGAAAACACCATCTAACGTCAAAATTAAGATCTTTTCTTTCTGATCTTACTCTGAATGATTTGAAAAAGGCAATTTTTTTAGATGAAGTTCCTTTTAAGTGCTGTAAACACACAGCACAGTGCAGGGCAGCTACACAATGTCAAATTTATCTGTGATCAAAGCAGCTGTTACCACACTATCACTCAGGACAGATAGCTGCATTCTTGGAAGATACCTGTAGAAACGGGTAGTACTGGGGAGTTATGCTCAGCGCAAACCTACCTCAGGCAGGTGGGGCTTTTTTGGCTTCATTTTCAAATGATCCCCACACCCCGCTGTGAAATGAGGGAAGCTCTCCAGAGAAAGGAGGTTGAAGTCACCGCAGAGGCCGCAGTGCTGCTCCGCATGAGAGCCTATCGGGGCCATTAGCTGGCAGCACTACAGCCCGTAACCACTTCCCTCCACCCTGACCCCAGCGCCAGGGTCTCGTCTCGCAGGAGAGTGGAAAGGAGAAACATGGTGAGGGAGCTGCCAGGGAGGCCCCCGCTGCGCCCAGGGCTGCACGTGGCCCATGGGGGCCATACACACACAGACAGGGAAAGCGGGTCCCATGGTGCTATACAGAGACAGGGAAAGCACATCTCATCTCAAGACGCACACGTGGACAGGGAAAGTGCTGCCCATGGAGAATACAGGGACACACAGGGCGAGCAGGTCTCGCGGCGGTCGCCTCGCTGCCGGCAGGAACCTGCGCTGAACACAGCGGGCAGAGGGCTGGGTAACGGGTACCCCCGGGGTAACGGGCCCACAGCGCTGCCGCGGAGCCGGCAGGGAGGGCTCGGCCCCGGTGCCAAAAACACGGACAATTAACCACTCTAACTAGGCTTCAAAAGTGGAACAGCATTCAGAGTTTGCATGTTCCCCTTTCTTCCCCCTTCCCCTCCCACCTCTCTCTGGAGCCACCAACTTGCAGAAAACAACAGCACCAGAACGACTGCACCCATTTTGTTTTTCCCTCTCCAAATATGGGCTAAATAATTACAGGACAGGGAATAATCAAGAGATCAACGTATTTCAAAAACATCTGAAGTGAAATGAAAGCCCTAACTAAACACTGTGCTGAGGGACATACACAACTTCATCTCAGCTATGTAACTTTACAAGGGGAGGTGACACTTTTCTAATGTTTTTTAACTTTGTACAGTGTTAAGAAACAATGTGTAGCCTTGGTCGGGTGCCTAAAGTGTTAAACAGTTTGCTAATCCATATGATGAAAGGAACAAGCATTTCCAAGCTCTTCATAGTTGAATCACCAGTAATTTAAAAGAATAATAAACTTAACAGTAGCTTTCATAAAAAATTAATTAGAAAGAGCCTGACAGCACATCTGTTGCTTTTGTTATCTTATTTCCCCTTTCTGGCTCATTTGTCTTCCCTCCTGCCCATTTTCACCTCTCCTGGGGTTCCTCTGTCTTTCTTTTGCTTCTCCTATATCCTTGTTGCTTTCTCTCGAATCCCTTCTTGCTTTCTGGCTGTACTGGCTTTTCCTTTGGCAACTATTATAGCTAGCGTGTGACACAGAAACTATTTGGCACCCAGCTCTGGAGGACGTCAACCTACAACACGAACTGGTGAAAACAACATCAACATTAAAAACTTCATTAACTTTCCCAAGTTCTGGGCGTGGAGGAGGCTCCTGGTTTTGCCAGGGAAACAAGACTAAAACACGGCAGGCTGTTTGTAACACCAGGCTACGCATGAGCAAAATATTTGCTTTGATCGCCTCTCCAAACGGTTTTCAAGACCTGATTAGCAGAGGAGAAATTCCTTCACCAGCATCGTTTCACCTTCTGTGCGGATCCAGAGGATTTCAGCCAGCGCTGCCTCACAAGGCCGGGGCTCAAAGCAGCATCAAACACACCTAGGCCCGGGCTGGCTTGACATACACGGTGAACCATTGCGGTAACGGGGGGTTCACCTCCTTGCACTGCACAGGCCTCCAGGTGCAACAGCCTTTCCCCGACTCGCAGGGCACATTTGCTCGGGTAAGGGACGCTGGTGGCGTCCAGCTGCCCGCTCCTCAGCCACACACCTCCTGCTCCAAAGGCACCCACTGCTCAACCACGCACCTCCTGCCCCAAAGGCACCCGCCTCGCAATGCTTTCTTCGCCTATCCCAGGCCCCACAACAGGCGAGTCCCTGGTAGGGGCTCCTCTTTCAGCATCCCTGGGCTCACACTTTTCCACAAAGCACAAATATTTCTGCAGTAACGAGACCCCTGCTAGCCCTGCTATTTACCCAGGCCGCGGGCCAGTAGCTGCGCTCTTAAGCTGAGCTCTTTACCAAGTTTATGGCGAGTTTATTTATGTTACAAAAACAAGTTAGGAAAAAAAATCCACTGAGATTAAGCAACATACACGAGGCATCCCAAGTCCTTCCATAAAGAGAAATAAGAGTCCCAGCCAAGGAAACTTTTTGTGACTCCACGTTTTTCTTAGATCAGGTGACAGCCCAGAACAAAAAGACATATTAAGAAAACTTCCACTGGAAAACAGCAATCACATCCCCATATCATTTTTAGCTAAATAAAACTATGGTATTATTTTCTGAGGCCAAAATATTTCATAGATGACCATAGCTTTTTCTGGCTTTCAGAACTTCTGTAATATATGTTGAAACTAAGCCTCAGAAAGAAAGGAACTAAATCAAGTTTTGCCCTGTTTCTGCCCATGTTCCAGTTGGAGGAGAAGGGAAGCGTTTTGCTCATGTGTGTGCAATTAACAGAGCCAAAACAGGTGTGTTTGATTGCTCGGTCCCAGGAAGCTGCCTATGCTTTACACTGAACGGCCATAGATGCTGAACAAAAGGCTTGGCAAAACTTCCCTGCAGAGGCACCCATCCATTTGCAGCCGGGAGCGCTGCCAAGAGAACAGCGACCAGAAACTCTCAAAGTTTCCCTGTCTGAAGAGCCAGCCCCAGCCACAGTATTTTATGATATGACTTAGACTGTAACTCCAAGTAATAATCTTCTCCCCCAACACCCTTTCCCTTCTCAAAAACATGCTAAGAAGGGTAAAATAGTTTTGGAAGGTTAAGCTTGTTAAAAAGCTGGAGACAACAACAACAACAACAACAACAAGAATTCTTTAAAAATTCTTTCCTGATGAAAACAACAGTTAACAGAAAAACGTGGAGAACAATAAAACAGTAACTCTTTAAAACCCGCTGAAAGAAATACTGCCTGCTCCAAGCTCAGTTGTTTAGTTTAAGGCGCACCTAGATCTTGGGAATCTTCTTTCGTTTCGTGATTAGAATGCTCTAACACACGTCTCCTCCTCTAAACTAGTTTGGAGAGAGGAGAGACGTGAGGCGGCGGTGGAAGAAAGGGAGGATGTTTGCGCTGCCAGGCGGCCGTGGAAGCGGGGAGCGAAGCCGCGCTCGGGAGCAGGGCTCCCGCTCGGAGCGGCGCCGCTCTGGGAAAAACCCCGAGCTCCTTGGACCACAACAAAAAGCTCCTGTTGTTGAGAGCGGAGCTGTTGGTCCTAATCTTTGTGGTGACACTTTCCCTTCGAAGGGGAGAATCGGTGAGCGCTCCCGCGATCAAGTTACGGCGCCGCCGCCGCGGGCTCTGCGCTCCCGGCCGCGGGAGCAACTTTCTCCCCTCATCTCAAGGCACGTTTGTGCAAGGCAGCCCCTGGCTTCGGCAGGCTCCGTCACGCCGCCCGGCCGAACATTAGGAAGGAGAGGCCGGGCTCCGCGCCGCCCGCCCGCGCCCTGCCAAGGCAGCCGAGCCGCGCAGGGCACCGCGCGCGGACGGGGTTTGCTGCGCTCCAGCCCGCGCTGCCCGCGCCCCGCTGCCCCGTCCTCCCCGCGCTCACCGCAGCACTTTGCCCACCGCCTGCAGCACCATCTTGCAGCTCAGTCCGGCCTTGGGGCTCGCGGCGAGCACGGGCCGATCGGCGGGCAGGCTGCAGTGGTCGCCGACCATGGTAGAGCGGCGCGGGCGGCGGGCGCGGGCGGAAAGCGCGGCCCAGCTCGGCTCGGCCCGGCGCAGCGCTCGGCCCGGC